AGTCAATGGTACTGGAATCCACTCTAGGCAATAGAGCAATCTCAACTGATAAACTAGTAACCTCTGATGAAGACTCTGAAGCTGAATCCAATGAATCAACTAGTGCCTATAAATATTAAATGAACATTATGTATTAGCTCATAGATGTAATAGCAATATACCTGCTGTGAGGTCAGGCTGCCTTCAGAGCTTAACAAATGGTATATCAGCATCCTTTCACCACTTGAACTTTCATCTTGTTGTCCTTGTAGCTGTATATAAGGAATTTATCATGCATGAATCAAGTTAATGAGTTATACTTACCTCTTCAAGTCTTTGGAGCAATAGTGGTAGTTTAGCTTTAGTACCAGACAGTGGTCCTTTCTTTGACTCTAATTCTAGCAGCCTCCTCCAATCACTTATCAGTTTAACTGTGATAAAAATGACACATGATAATAAATTAAGATGACATGAGTGGGGCATTATCACTTACATGTTTCTTCTGATTTGAAATCTCTCTGTACTCTCTTTACAGTTTCCTCAAAAGAAGGTAAGTGCTCAATCAGCTCTTGCATTTCCTCCTCGTTTGCTTTGTCTGCATGAAAAGAAAAGAATCAAAATTTTTTATTATTTTTAATACCTTCATCCATACTGGCCAATAGACCATCACTCATGGATTCTGGGCTGGCCAAGGCAGCAGTGGCTTCTGCAACTTCTTTTTCATCAGTTTGAGCCGTACAACGAGACAGCTTAAGATAGTAATCACTAACAGCTCCAAGGGCTGGTATTCCTTTATCATTGTCATTCTTGTTTGAAGCTGTAGATACTTTCTCTTCTGGATCTGGTCCCAGCTCGAGGACTGCTTTACCTTTAGAGAATTGTATCCTCTTTTCATTATCCAGCTCAAGCTTGTCATGCTCATGAAAGTAGAGGGAGCTCGTTGAATCTGTGGATTCAGTTTTACCAGCAAAAGTAGAGATATCACGCCTGTCAATCCTTCTCTCCTGTATTTGCCAATTGTATCCTTCAGAATAATACCTAAAGAATAGGTACAGATCTAAGGTCAAGTAATTGACTAATTGTAATTAGAGGCTCCATTACAATTGCATAATTGGGCCAAAGTTCCTGTACTAAGTACATGGTTATCAACCAAATTTAGCCAAAATTGAAATGGAAAGAATTCTCATTTTTATAATCTTTTATGAATTATTTTCTTATCTTATGTAAAAGTTTGAGCTGATTTCAATGCAATTCAGATTTTTACAAATTTTTAAAGTTGTTAAAAAATTAGGCCAACAACCCAAGACCTAACCTTTGATCTTTAGTCAAATTTTGTCAAAAATGGCTAGGAGAAAATTCTCCTTTTTTGATACATATATGTTTTGATGTTGAATATCTAGTTTGAGCTGATTTGAATTATTTTGAATGTTTAGGCATCAAATTTCTTTATGTTTTCTACATGTACCTAACCTGTAATGAGACTTGTGGTTTGACTGTGAATCAGTTTCATTGGTAACTGCTGTTCCTTCATAATTGGCTTGAAAAGCACTAGCAATGCTCTTCTTGAAATTAACGACCCATCTGCTGTCTCTCCTGTCGTGAAACACACCCAAGATCTTTCCACTAGACATGCTTTGAGCAAAGCAGAACAACTTATCCATTTTCTTGAGTGGGACAATATTACTAAAATTTAAAATGCACTTGTTAAATTTGCAATTGAGCACACATGAACACAAAAATTTAATTATAATTTACAATATCAGAAACATTATACAATTTTTAATTTCTCTTCTTACCTTGCATCATATTTATTTTTTTCATTTACAGTTCGAACCACAGCATCTGTCACATTGATACAAGAGCGAACTGAAAGCTCCTTTTTAAAGGTACCAACTGCAAAAAAAAATTAAATCCAGCCTGCTGCTGTCACGTAAGTACAAACCTGATTCACAGAATATGTAGACATTAGCAGAAACATCAACTCTTTCTCCTCCTTTTATTGTAACATCAACATTGTATTCGTATAAGCAGCTCTGGCATTCTATTATAAAAAAGAGAATTTGTAACATTTAGTTATATATTTTCACTTACTTTGCAAGTACTGTTTTTGACATAATCACTGTCGTCAGCATCACATTTTGAAAAAATGATAAAGAGAACAGCAAGAGCAATAATCTTCATGATCTTTTTCTTGAGCCTGCCTGGCTAGTTGAAAGTGTTCTTCTAGAATGAGAATTAGTGCTATTTTTATAAGCACAGCTGCCAGGAAGTATAATACTCTAGATCCAATGTATATGTACATGTATGTTATATAATAAGTTAGATTTCAATAAAAATAATATAACTAGTAAATACTTTTACATAAACAATGTACACGTACTTTCTTAGTACTAATAATGAGACTGAAGGCCTTTTAACACTGGCACTGTTTTTGAAGTGCTTTGATGCACTTTGTTGATACAGCTGGAATAATACAACACATTGCCTTCTTGACATACATTATTTTTAAAGCATACACTGCAATATTGACACAATTAATGCACATTAATAAACATTATACTTTTGCCAGTGAGGAAAAGGCCTTGAGTGGGTAATGCATTGCAAGGGCAGTTAATACTCATTGCTACTACACATTCAAAGCTGCATGAGATATTACATTATTTCATGGCACATAACTTAGAGGGTTACTTCTGAAACTCTGTATATTGTTTTGAAGTAACCAACAACTAGTGGGGACAACTAAATTACTATGTCTACTATATATATATAGCTGAAAATTAATTATTTAAAGTAGAAAGAGAGATTTTGCTGCTGTTATAATGACAAATCAACAGCTAAGTACTAATCCAATACAAGCCACTGTCCACTTTAAGACAGATGCAAAAAGTACATGTAAAGCTAGTGTATCAAATGCAATTATGATAAAGCTAAAAGGTGCATTAATTCAAGAAAACAATGAAAATTTATTTACTTACAAACAAACGGAAGTCCATTATGGATCCTTTGAGACACATATGGGCATAAACTTCCACTAATGATGTTATTCATGGTACATTATGCCAGCAATTAGATTGAGCTTTGATAATGAAAATAAACAGTGATCAATTATTTAACTGCATCTAGCATGTTGCCACATCTGTCAATTTTAATGCAGTAAGGTAAAAGAAAATTCAATTTTTTACTTCTTATTTGGTCTAATATCATAAGCATAATTATTCACATAAATTTTAAAATTGAAACCACAAAGACATTATTATTTCACTGTCCATTTAACCTCCACACAGATATTATCCTCCTATTATAGGAATTAATATAATATCAATGAAGACATCTCCTATGTAATATCATCAGTAAATCAGTAATTAGTGCATAGAATTGTGTATACCTACCTGCCTGATGGTACATGTCTTTGATGTGTGCAGTAAAGATAGCACAATACATATATACTTTGACCTAAATAAATTATGGCAAACAAAAGTAGTTTACAATTTTCAATATCCTTCAAAAATAATTTCTTGGGTTATCAAACTGCATGAACTATTTATTGAGCTCAAAGTGATTGGATTACCTTAAATCATATTCATTTTCAGCCAAAGCATAATTACAGCACTCAATAGCTGTTAGTCTATATAGATCCCCATTGGCATCTCTTGTTCACTGAATGTCAATTAGCTGCTTCAAGCTACACTTTATTTGGCTGGTTTATATACTTACTGTCTCTTGATTGATTCCGTATAAGAATAACAATAATTAATGGGGTTTGCCCCCCAATCATCAGAATAACTGATAAAACATTTTCAAAATAATCATTATAATTTTTACAACCTGTTTGGGGAATGTTTTCATGTGGCAAGAATTTTATTCCTTACTTTTATAGTCATTTTTTTAAGGCTCACATTATACATAGATTGAATTATAATTACATAAGTAGCAAAGGGGCGGAGTGAGGCTAATACATTGGCAAATTTGATAGAAATCATCTCAAGCTAAATTTACATAAATAACACCACAAAATGTGTATGTATCTGTACTATAGTATGTAGTATTAGATCAATTTTGTCAAAATTGAAAATGAGAAAATTATCGATTTTTATAATTTTCTCTGATACACATACATGTTTTTATGCCATGTATAAAATTTGAGTTGATTGTGATCAAAATTGGATCTCTTAAAATTTTTTAAAATTAATCAATTTTAAAAATTCTCCATTTTAAATATTTTGGTCTACTGATTAGCATCATGTTCCTGTAATAGGTCTATAGTTCTGTTTCATAACAAAATGTACTTTCACTTTTCTTGTTATTACCTATGACAATAACTTTACTTCAGTTTGCAACAACATAAATGCCACTATTGTAAACAAATATTGCTATTAAATAAGTTTGTATAGCTCTTTCACTTCTGTTTGTTCTACCTACAATTTTTTGATAATTTGTAAAAGCTAGCAATTGTAAAATTTTGATATGTTTTCACAACACTGTCTGCATGTAGATACATGTTATTTAATGACAAGTATAATTATTTACTACTTTGTCTTTCACATTGTATATTGTATTTCTGGCAAATGTTGACAGTTATGATAGCTACTTTTGAATTATTAAAAACATTAACTGTAGCATGCTTTCTCTATAGTAAACATTAAATTTTTATAAAATCACTGAGAGAAATATTTTTATAATAAATATAGTCAGAAATGTATTCAATTGTACTTGCTTTCTCTCTTGTTCTTTCGTCAGTTTCCAGTCAATGGATTAATATAACTAATGAATATGAGTTGGAGAATTTCTTGTGTAATAAAACCCATTCACTGGATGATGATATTGTGCTGGTGTTATCTGATAGCATCACTCACTTCATTAGCAATAATGTATCATTTTGTAGTGTGATTAATGGTACCCACTCACTGACACTAGCCAGTGAGTCCTCAAAACAAGCTCTTATACAATGTGATAATTCCA